AGCTGTGTAAAAGGGGCCTAAGGTATCCAAGTACCAGCTTATGCTACAAAACGAATAAGATACAATGATTACTTCGTCTTGTCTCAGAGGACCTTGATAACTGTGTCTAAGTGGTGGACTAGAGCTCTCCAGCAGAAAATGTTTACATTATGTTACCTATACAATTATATTACTATGCTTCTATTGTAATGGCATTGCTCTATCCTGTGCAATTTAGAGATGGGTACCTAATATTCTGTCACACAGAGAGCTATACCTCCTAATAAGAGTTCATTTATTCACATCCCACAAATGTTCTGTCTAGGGAATGTCTACGTCCTCCAGTGTGACGGTATGATATTCCTGGGCCAGAAGTCCATTGTTTCAATAGAGTTCAGTATCATCCATGGCATCCACACCAAGTCCAGGAACATATCTTGTACAGATCCAGGAATCATATTGTACCTGTCTTTTCTCATCCTTCGAAACCCACAGTTACATGGCAGTATATTATGCAGTTAAATGGAATTAAGCACCACTGAATGAAAGGAAAATAGTCCTGCAAGTTCTGAAGAGTGGTTTCAAGAGTTAAATCTGAAGCCAAACACTGTGGGTGAGCCTGAAATGCTAATGCTTCATAATCTTGGCCTCATCAGGTGAAACTAAAACCCCTTGGAGAGGTTAATCCGTGACCCACAGAGCTGGCCTGTTCACACCAGACCCTGGCAGCAAGGAGTTTTAATCTTCCTTTCCCAGCATGATATTGTCCAACCTAGGAAACTGGACTCTGGGAAGATGAAGATAGATGGGTTGTTGTAGGTTTTTTCAGGCTATATGGCCATGGTCTAGAGGCATTCTCTCCTGATGTTTCGCTCTAGACCATGGCCATATAGCCCAAAAAAACCTACAACAACCCAGTGATTCCGGCCATGAAAGCCTTCGACAATAATGAAGATAGAGTTTGAAAGTAGACTAGAATAGAGTCCCTCCTTTATTGTTGTTTTTCCCCCCAAGTTTTTTCATTATTTTTTAAAGTTTTCAAATATAATAAAAATATATACAAACAATAAATGGCCGGCAGAACTTTGGATAAGCAAAATGTTGGATAATAAGGAGGAATTAAGGAAAAGTCTATTAAAAGTCAGATTAATTATGATTTTACCAATTAAGCACCAAAACATCATGTTTTACAACAAATCGACAGAAAAAGCAGTACAATACACGGCAATGTTATGTAATAATTGCTGTATTTACGAATTTAGTACCAAAACATTGCAATGTATTGAAACAGCTGTGGATCCGGGCGGGAGGTGGACTGCGTTAGATAATACAGAGCGTTGGATGAGCGAAGGTTGGATAAGTGAGACTCTACTGCAGGGGTCCTCAAATTGTTTAAACAGAGGGCCATGTCACAGTCCCTCAAACTGTTGGAGGGCCAGATTATAATTTGCAAAAAGCTTGAATGAATTCATATGCACACTGCACATATCTTATTTGTAGTGCAAAAACACTTAAAAACAATATAATAATTAAAATGAAGAAAAATCTTAACAAATATAAACTTATTAGTCTTTCAATGGAAAGTGTGAGCCTGCTTTTGGCTGATGAGACAGGATTGTTGTTGTTGTTGTTGTTGTTGTGTGCTTTCAAGTCATTTCAGATTTAGGTTGACTCTGAGCGAGGGCTGGGTAAATGACCATGGAGGGACGTACCTGGCCCTCGGGCCTTAGTTTGAAGAAATATGTGTTTTCTGATGGTCTTTGGCAACTCCTTTGAGACCCCCCTCGCGAACCCCCCAGCTTGAGAAACTGGGGGTCTACACCTCCAGGTTGAGAAACACTGCTTTAGAGATTTTGCATTATCCGTAACAGCAAGAAACAAAAGTAGAAATAATAACTTCTGGATTTCCTTATTATTTTTAATTAAGTAACTAAGTATGGTAACTAAAACAAACAAAATGAATTCCATCAGGGAGAAATGTAAGGTACTACGATATGGTAGGGAAAAAATGAAATGCAGAGGCATAGGACAAGTGACAGTCCATGTGATGATAGTCCATGTGAAAGAGACCTAGGAGTCTTAGTCCCCTTCTACACTGCCATATAGTCCAGGTTATCAAAGCAGAGAATCCACATTATCTGCTTTGAACTGGATTATATGAGTCTACGCTGCCATATAATCTGGTTCAATGCAGATAGTCTGGATTTTATATGGCAGTGTAGAAGGGGCCTTAGTAGACCACATGCTGAACCTGAGGGCTCTTCCATGCAGCCATATAAACCAGAATATCATGGCAGAAAATCCCACGATATCTGCTTTGAACTGGGTTATCTGAAGTCACACTACAATATATTCCAGTTCAAAGCAGATAGTGTGGGATCTTATTCAGCTATGTGGAAGGGGCCTGAGTCAACAGTCCATAATGTTTGGTTCAACTGCTATAGTGGTGTCTTATTGAACCCTGTGGTTTGTATTTTGCCAAGATACTAGAACTCTCTGGCTGAGAATCCCAAAAGCTACTCCATAAACTGCAAATCCCAGGATTGTATGGGGGTGGAACCACAGTATTTGTAGTAGGACCAAAATGTTATGGTGGTATTGTCTTTAAGAGACTCTCCTCAATGACAAGGACTTCCAATGTGCCTCCAGCATCCAACATTTTCCAGTCCCTGAAAGCAAGACCTGACTCACCTGCCTCAGCTTCGTTCCCACCATGGAGGCGCTGCTGTCAAGGACAAAGACAACATTCTTGGGAAGCGGAGGGAGGTCTTTGGGAGCAAAGTAGTGCACAAAGTATCCATTGAAAACCTGGTGGGATGAGAAGGACATGTTCAGTATTGTGTTGTGTCACCATGGCTTCAAATTAGATGCTGAATATCCTCTTAGAGCAGTGGTTCTCAACCTTGGATCCCCAGATGTTTTTGGCCTACAACTTCCAGAAATCCCAGCCAGTTTACCAGCTGTTAAGATTTCTGGGAGTTGAAGGCCAAAAGCATCTGGGGACCCCAGGTTGAGAACTACTGTCTTAGAGCATCCTCTAACTAAACTGAAACTTACACCTGTGAATATATATTTCTCAGTAGCTATTTTGATCATCTCAGATGGAAGAATTTGGCACCTAAATGAACCAAACCATCTGCAGATTTCAGTAGGGAAAATGTAAAGTACTATACTTAAGAGGAAGATATAGAATGGGTGACACCTGGCTTGAAAACACTCAATGTGAAAGGGATCTAGGAGCCTAAGCAGACCACAAGCTGAACATAAGTCAACTGTTATGCAGCAGCTCAAAAAGGGAATGCTATTCAAAACTGACTGGATTGACCTTGAAGGAGCTGGGGGTAGTGACGGCTGACAGGGAGCTCTGGCCTGGGCTGGTCCATGAGGTCACAAAGAGTCGGAAACGACTGAACGAATGAACAACAAATTCAAAGCTGAATGAAGTATGGAGTCTAGTAAAGGTAAAGGTTTTCCCCTGAAGTCCAGTTGTGTCCGACTCTGGGGATTGGTGCTCATCTCCATTTCTAAACGAAGAGCCGGCGTTGTCCGTAGACACTTCCAAGGTCATGTGGCAGGCATGACTGCATGGAGCACTGTTACCTTCCCACAGAAGTGGTACCTATTGATCTACTCACATTTGCATGTTTTCAAACTGCTAGGTTGGCAGAAGCTGGGACTAACAGCAAGAGCTCATGCTGCTCCCCAGATTTGAACCTGCGGCCTTTTGGTAAGCAAGTTCAGCAGCTCAGCAGTTTAACCCTCTGTGCCACCAGGGGTTATGGTGTCTAGATCATCAAGGGAAGTAATAATGCCACCCTATTCTGCTTTGGTTAGATCTCATCTGGATATACAGTGGACAGTCAATTCCATACCTGGACATCCCCAACACTCAGCTCCCGGTTGACATCATATCTGATGGTGAAATCTCCCAGAATGCCATTCCTTGCAATCTTTGCTTGCTGGACCACTGTTGGACTGAAGGTGACTTTGGCCAAAGTTTTGGTCTGGCCAACAACAGTTGAAGGTGGTGGAGAGGCAACATCTGCTGGAGAAAAAAATATCGTTGGCTAAAGTTAGGATTTCTAAACTCAGAATGGTCAAGTTTGGCGTATTCAATCACAGCTCCTTATGGGAAGCCTCTTGACCATCTGCATAATGATGAGAGAAACGACTATCGATCTATGTTTTTGACCTATTTATATAATTGTTGCTTGGGATCACATGCTTTTAAAAGTCTGGAATCAATCCATATATGTCACCTTCTCCTTGCTGAATTTTACAGCTTAGTAAACTTTTTGTTGCAGGTCTGTTTGCAAGTGTCATTGCCATTGCTGTTCATTTCAGCTCTGCCTCATAGGAAGCTCAGAAAAACAGCACACGTAGCTGACAAAGAGAACACAACAGAATAGAAGCGGATATCCCATTGAGGAAATAGAGGGGAATTCTGGGGTGTGATGACA